AATTCAAAAATGTGATTTTTTTTTAACAAAGTTTTTTTTAAGTTACAAAGATGTGATTTTTTTAAGTTAAAGTGGCAAAAATATCTTTTAGGGGGCAATAAACAGTAACACCCTAAAAAAACGCAAAAAGAAATTAAAAAACATTTAAAAAAATTGAGAAACTTACTATATATAGTAAATCATAAATTTAGGATGGAAATTATAGTTACAATATTAAGTAAATTCCACACCTTTATATATATGTGTATAGAGAATGGATCATATGAGAATGGTAGATAATGAAAGAAATAATAATAAATCTGTATCATTGGATCCAAAAAAAAAATACTTGTGGATTGGAGAGTCCTTTCCCGATGCGTGAGGGTTGTCCCGCCATTGTTTCGAATTTTTTTTCGGAATTTTTGAATGTTTTGTTGTTTTTTTTTGACAAAGTTTTTTTTTAGTTCAAAATTGTGTTTTTTTTTTAACAAAGTTTTTTTTTTAAGTTGTCTTTTAGGGGGCGGTAAATAGCAACACACTAAAAAAAGTAAAAAGAAATAAAAAAACATTTATAAAATTGAGCAAACTTACTATATATAGTAAATCATAAATTTAGGATGGAAATTATAGTTACTATATTAAGTAAATTCCACACCTTTATATATATGTATATAGAGAATGGATCATATGAGAAAAGGTAGATAGTAAAAGAAATAATAATAAATCTGTATCATTGGATCCAACATATCAATGGACATTATCAAGTCAATTTTATTATATAATGGTCAAACAGTCAATGGCAATATCGTAAATATGTGTGCATACTGTGGTCAAATGTACGAATTTGCCCACTCAGTAAGGGCATTATAGTCAATGCACATTCATCCACTATCCACATGGGTCACACCAATCATAATAAAAATAAAAAAATCACACCTCTCTCTCTCTCACACACACAAACACACACTTTAATGCACACCCACGCACGGACAGGACACACACACATTCACACATTATTTTCGTCGGCGACCACCTTCCTTCCGCTGACAGAGTCGCCGGCCGCCACCTTCTTTCCATCCGCGTCATCACCGCCTTCAGCGAGTTGGTATCAGCGGCCACCAGCGCATATTGTAGGCAGCTTACTCCGGCACTGTATAACACACATTCCACCTGATGGCGGCCAAACCGGCCAATCAGCCGGCGAATTTCTACAGAAACCTTGCTTCCGACGACAAGGGCCTTCAATTCGATGGCCAATTCGTGTTTTTCACACGATCCATAGCCCGCGGCCACCGGAGACATTCCTCGTCCTTCCATCTCGCCGTCTCATTGGTGAAATTAGCCACCGCCAACCACAAGGACGTTGTCTTAATTGTCGAAGGTCTGTTCACCGGGACAGATGCCAGAGTTTGGGGTTGAAACCGGGTGGTTAAAAAGTGAGATGAATAAGATTTGATTTTGGGTTTGTTGTTGAAAATTTGACATCCCACAGGGGCTCATTTGCAATTTCGGGATTTTTAATATGTTACAATTAGGTCTATGGGTTAAATGTGAAATTTACTAAAAGTCTAATAAAGGCATATTAATGTTCAAAACACTGCACATTACTGTTCGTTATATTGCACATTAACGATTAACAAATTGCACAATAACGTGTACGTATATGAAGGTTAAAATTTAAAAAATTTACCAACAAGCTGTTGAATGTGCAATGTTGTTTATCAGTTGGTTCGGCTAAACTGACCGACCGAAACGTTAAAATGATTCAATCAAAATGGTCAAAGTGAAATATAATTTATTTTTATAAGAAAATGTATTTTGTATTTTAAATTATTTGTTTAATAATTTAAATTTATATTTTCTCAAAATAATTATTATATGTATATAAGGTTATAAAAAATAAAGTTGATACCAAACGAATAATAATCAAATTTTTGAAAGTGAAAACTATAATCAAACCGATATATAAAATTCTGGATCTATTATTTTATTTAGGTCGACTTCGGTGCAATATGTCAGTCATTAATGTGCAATGTGTTGTGAATGGGTTATTTGATCGGTTGGCCGAATTATGATAAATACTCAAAATCAAGTCGACTATTTTAGAACATGTCGGTCAATAATGTGCAATTTGTACAAACACCATTGAGCATTGTTAATTCGATTAGTTAACCGGATTATCATAAATACTTGAAATAATTTATTATTCACATTCTAAACATAAATTTACGATTCACATATATTTTATTTAATATCTTATATAGTTTTTGTTGGTTGAAAATAGATATTATTTTTTATATAAAAATATAAAAAAAGTACTTTTTATGTTGTTTGGTTGGTTCGGTTATTTTGAAAGGAAAAAAAAGAATTCTGATATCGAACAATGATTTTAAATAATGTAGAAAATATATCCAAAAATTGGAAACTTTAGTCCGGTCGATTTCCGTTCGCTACTGTGCAATCTGCTGGTCAATAATGTGTATTTCGTCAAAAACTGTTATGCATCTTGACATCATTAATGTGCATCTTGTTTAATACAATGAGGAGTGCATCTTGTTTAATACAATTAGGAATTCAGCAGTGCGATTTTTTTTTCTTTTTTTGCTTATTTGACCTAAAATCAAACCAAAATAATTGAGTTATTTCGTTATTTAATCCAGTTAACCCAAAAGTCGAACTAATTTATTATTTATAATATAAAATTATATTAAAGATGTTAATTTGTTTATTTAATATTTTATGTTCTTTTTCTATTCAAAATGCCTAATAAATATATGCATTAAAAAAATAGATAAGAAATAACAGTTGTTTATAAATTTTTATTAATTACATATTTGACCCATTGTTTAAATTGAAAATGACTCACATTTCTATAATGCAAATGGGTCCCAGAAATTTATTTAATTCTCAAAAACAATACAAAAAAGATGAAATTTAAAATCCTGAAATCCTGCAGTACAACAAAATAGATATGGACACACACACATATACACACACACACACAATCATACACAACACACACACAATCACCGCCAACCAACAGCTCACACCAACGCATCAAGCCATGTCCATCATGTCGTTGCCGTCGACAAGCCTGTTGCTGCCTCCGTCAGGCGATTCCATCAGCCCGTCCAGAACTCACTACGAGAGCTCTAAGGTCGACAACCACAACAACCATCATTCTTCAACATACCGCCACCTCACATTCGCCTTCCACATCAGTCCGCCGCTCAACCTCAATCGTCCGTCTACCACAGCTTCGCTTCGCTACCACCTCACCTTGCTCAGTCTCTGTCGTCCGCCACCTACATCCAGTCGCAGCAACCAGCCCGCCGCCGCCACTAACGTTGTCGCTGGCAGCAACACCGACGACGTTGAATCGGCGATCGCCGAAGAATCTGGAAGCTGGCAATGGATAGCCTCGGTCGGTGGCACTGGTGGCAGAGACAGCATCAGAAATTAAGGAGCAGTGCCTAAAGTCTCAGGTTCCGGGATAGCGTACTCTCCAACATGAAACGATGGCCGGCGACTAATTTCATAGCGGTGGTCTGGTCTGGCTTGCATTATCAGATGATGGCGGGCGGTGGAGTTCATGTACAGTGTGTGCATGTGTGCAATTAATGTGAGTGTCTGTGTATCTGTTTTGTATCTGTGTGTGTGTGAGAGAGAGAGAGAGAGAGAGAGAAGGTGAGAGAGAGAGAGAATGGGAGTGACAGACTGTAAATTAAGTGGCGTATGACATGTTGTTAATGGTGGGGTGGGTCCCATTGAGGTGGATGGTTGGGATATTACTAGTTTACTCTTAATGAGTGTGATTTAATGGCTAAGATTATTATTATTTATTTCATTGAGCACCATTCTCACTGCAGCGCGACCCTGTATGTATATATAGATCAAGTAGTTTTACTAATAACTATTATATGATAGAATGGTTAAAAAATACAGTTATTGTAATAATATTTTATATATTATTCAATTATTGTGGACCATATAATTAGTTAGACCTAATTGAATTAATAGTCAGACTTAATTAAGGTGAATATATATTTAATAGATTATTAATGTTCTAATATTAAAGAGTCCAATTTGTGATGTTTGACTTGGACAGTAAGTTAGGTTAGAACATGGGGAATGTTAGTAGGAATAGGGTTATAGGCCTCCTCCTATATATATTACTACATGCCCCTCTCTCCCATCTCATACGAAATAATGTTTTCAACATCAAGGGCTTTGTGAAAAGAGGAGAGACGCGGGAGAGAGAAACAATTCATGGTGAATGAAAATCCTTCATGGGAGATTATGAGAATGATCATTGGAGATTACGAGGAAGAGGATCGTATCAATATCATAGATCAAGAAAAAAGGGAAGGACTATAGCTGGATTCTTGTAAGTTTGTATGTGCAATTTAATTAATGTAAAGATCCATGTTCTATGAATTGATAGAATTACATGCTTAGGGTTTATTCAATTATGTCTAATATTTATGAATACGCCCGTTAAATTTCTTACAGTTATTACTTAATTAATATAATTATAATGATTTTTTCATTGTTGCACCAAGAAAGGAGCAGGAAACGAAATTTTTTACATTGAATTCTTTATCCCTCTATATATATTTTTATTTATATGTACATATGGATATAGACTATCATTTCAATTGTAAGGAAAAAAAAAATAGTTTTTGAAAAAGACCGCCTACCAGATCCTTCTCGACCAATGGCCACATCACCCTTGAATAAATCAATGTCGTGATTTATTTGCTGGATTTTAAGTCATTCTTTGCAATTGGATTCTTGAATTGAATTATTTACTGAATGTGGCCACCTAATGGATTCTTCGGATTATGAGGCCGAGATTTTAGAATGACAGAAAATATATTATATGCGAATGGTCTTTTTTCTTATGGTTAATTGTGAGATTAATGATGTCTTAATAATCTCATAACATACAATCAAATAAAATTATTTTCTAATTATATGATCTATGTAAAGAAACTGGTTAGTCACCAAAGTGGCCTAGTTCAAATTATGGAATAGATAATTAAATTAGATAAAATGATCAGTTACTCAAATATAAAATGATGTCTTATAATGTCTCTCAAATTATATATTTGAATAATTGATGTCATGAGTTATAAACTAGAAGGACACCCAAAGGTGGGCCATGTGTTTATAGTTTGTGACAACTAATAGAGAAATTATAATTAGAGTTAGGTCAATTAGTGCGTTTGTCCAAAGATAACCACTAATTGATCAGAATTATATAATTTCTATTAAGGATCAATATTAAAAGGAGAAGTTATACTTAAAGTGAAGTTAATTAGCGTGTTTGTCCAAAGATAGCCGCTAGTTGACTCAAGTTTGTTTATAATCTCTAGTAAGGATTAATATATAAAAGAAAAATTATAATTATAGTTAGGTTAATTAGTGTGTTTGTCCAAAGATAACCGCTAATTAATCACAATACCTATAATTTCTGTTAAAGATATTTCCTATTAGGCATCAATCAAGTATATTATATATTTAAGTATTTGCCCAAAGGTATATTTAAATATATAATTTAAAAGATTTCTAAATCCATTAATTTTCTCTATAAGCTTAATTAAATAGCATGTATTAAAGATTGCAGTGTTTAAATTTAGTTTTTTTCCGTCAAGTATTATTATTGAAAAATTCAATGGGCTGAACTTCAGTGAATAGTCCGAGCATATCCGTTTTCAATTAGGTACATTGAATTTGAATATACTCTAATTACTGATGAAGCGCTTACAACCATTACTGATGAGAGCTTCAAAGTAGAGGTGACTCTTCGTAGGGTGTGTGAGCGATCAAATAGGTTGTGCTTGAATTTTATGAAGTTAATCATGACGGATAACATTAGGATAAGAATGCAAAAGAATTCCTAAATAAAAAAAGGAGTTATCTCCATATAAAATTGCGGAAAAGTCCATTGTGGAAAGTTTCATGATCAAACTCACCACTATAAAAGTTCAACTAATTTCATTCCATCCATGGTATCGTGTTTAATATGTTCAACTATAAGCTAAACTTGCAAACATGAGAATGAATGTGATAGACTCATTTATGGTTTTATTCATCATAAACTCCCTACATGTCGAGTTTGGCCAATCCTAGGTGAATTTATTGCACCATTAAAGATAAAAGGAACTATAAAGAAATTAAGGCCATACTGGTGCAGGAAGAGGCGAGAATAAATTAGATGAAAGAAGAGTCAATTCACTTTATATCTTATGTGAGAGCCAATAATAGTAAGATGAAATGGAAAATAAAGGCAAATAAAAGAAGATTGACTTACTTAAAGTTTTTGCAGGTTCAATCATTAAAGAAATGAGGTGTTATTCCTGTAAAAAGTTAGGTCACCTCATAAAAGATTGCCTAAAATAAAATATTGATTCAAAAAGAAAGATATACATTAAGTTTTGTATGTTGTGAATCATATTTATTAAAGATTCCCAATAATGCTTGGTGGCTTGATTTTGTGCAACTAATTATGTATCTCATATTTAATTTTGGGTTAAACGTAGTGCACATAATGTATACTATA